AAAAATATCTGCCGTACATACGCAATCCCTAGATGCTTTTGCGGACATCCGGTGCGGATTACGGATTGCGGACTGTATGTGACGGCACCTCACACTACGCATTGGAGTTTGGAGACTGAGGATTGCAAATTGAGGATTAGAATTCAGCCAATTAGAACGAGATTAAACTTAAAATTGGTCCAAAACCTGATTAGTCGAATTCTAATCCTTAATTCGCAATCCTCAATCTTCAATGCGTAGTGTGACACGGGCATAAGGCCGGAATCAGACTACGCATTGAAGATTGAGATCGAAGATTGAAGATTGAAATTTGACCAATGAGGGTAAAGGAATTTTAGTTCCTATTGTTTTGATTGGTCAAATTTCGATCTTCAATCTCAATCTTTAATGCCTAGTCTGATTCCGGCCTAAGGCCAGTGGCTACGTCTACACCGTGCATTTAGGCCGCGGCCTAAACAATAGATGTCCTTGTTTATCCTGTAAGTTAAACAAAGACATCTATCGTATAGGTCGCGGACTAGTAGCGCACGGTGTAAACGTAGCCAGTATTTATAGTCAGATCTTATACTTAAGACAGTCTTAAGTTTAGCCTTGAGGCGTCATGAACCAATCAAAGGGCCGCATTAGCGTCTTAAGACGGTTTGAAATAAGAACCGACTATGAATACCGGCCTAAGTAGTGTATCAAATGCAGTCGACAATAATGAGAGAGAGGGACCGTGGAAGACGGCCAATCGCCCTCTCATTCTCTCTCCCATTATACCGTTAAATCGAAAGAGATACAGATTGGCCGTCTTCCATAGTCCCTCACTCTTACTTTTATCGACCATTTTGACCACGGATCGCGCAGTCCATTCTCTAAAGATTTGTTCGTGTCGCGAGCTCCAACATGCTCCTACTATAGCTCTTATTCACTCCAATCGCGCTTGATAGAGTGAGTAGGAGTTATGGTAGAAGCATGTTGAAGTTTGCGACGCGAACAAACCTTAGGGTACCATTACATGAGTGCGGAAACGCGCAACCAATCAGTAATCGGTGAAACACGAAACCATAACAGCGGATTGTTTCTGATTGGTTACGCGTTTCCGCGCTCATGTAATGGCACTCTTAGGTGTGTGCAGTTTGCAAGCGTTTCTCTCTAATTCTCTGTCCTCTTCCTTGCTCGGTGCCCGTTCGTAGTCTCAATTTAGCCAACCTTAGTTGTTGTCTTCGTCGCACGCATATCATTTAGGTTCGGTCTCTTTTTATTATATACTTACCTAATATTACCAACGTTCGCGTTGCATGCTGCTAGCTCCTACTCTAACGCATTCGTTGGAGTGAATAGAAGCTATAGGAATTGAAACATATTTCAGAAATATATACCCAAATATCTATACTTTTTTATAGAATTTTTATATAAATATGGATTCTGAAATATTGTAAAATTTGTATAAAAAATTGCGTCTCTCTGATAAATCTAGGACTCTCTACACACACCATGTTAATTCGACGGTGGAAATATACAGGTGTAGCATTCCCGTGGTTGCGCAGTAGCCAACCAATGGGAAATTTGATCCGAAATGCAAAACACGAAAGAATACGATGTTGCACGAAGTCGTCCGAGCTAAGCGTAGCCGTGAACACCAGTAAACACGGTCCGTGTTCCGTGTCTTTTTGAAGTTAATTTTATTTTGACAAAGTAAAATGTGGTAAAATCATGCCGTGTTGCAGTGTACATTATTGTAAACACCGATCTACTTTTTCGTAGATATTCGTAGTGGGACGTAGAATGGCTTTGATTGAGGGTGAAGGATTTCTTGATTTTTCAAATGAACAACGCTACTTTACGTCCCACTACAAATATTTATAAGAAGTTCTAAGATTTTGTCTCAATCTTTGTAGTTTTTCGTGAAATCTTTGCGCCAGAGTTCTTTAATCTACATGTACATATATATTAATCTTTTATTTTCATTTCCAGCATTATTTTTTATTATCTTTTGTGTTATTTTCATTTATCATTATTTCTTTATCATTTATTCACTACAATAATCACGTATAAGTATTGTCGCATTACATGACATATTATTTGCGACACGTTTACAGTACTGTAATGGTCAAAATACATGTATAAATTATTGATTGCATGTAGAAGATATTACTTTGGAATCTATCGCAGATTAGTTGATAAAAGTAAGTCAGTTATCGCTTTGTTTGGTGGTCATTGCTTGCCATTGCAGCGACAATGTATTTAATAACATTTTCAATTTCGCGCTGAGCTCCTCGCATTTCGGGTCAAATATCTCATTGGTTCCCCCACCCCAGATTACCCCCGCCACACAGCCCAGGCTGCCCAGTGTGGGCAGCGACCTGGTAAGGTCTTGCCTCTCAGCTCGGGCCCACGCCCGTAGTCGAAGACGTGATGGAAGGAACGGAATAACCACTCTCGATAATTACTTAGACATGAACACAAATTTATTCTTAATGGCTTACTGCTCGTGTCGACTGCCCGAGTCGATCTAACTATTTTTCTGGTTACAAAACTGCCACCAGCAGGCGGCTAGCGCGCTAAAATATCCCCAAGCTTGCTACCACTACATGCGCTAGGAGAGAGAGTGGTGGACGCAGTTCCCCACACCAGGATGCGCAATGCTACATCTGTATATTTCCACCGTGGTTAATCTCTTCCACCATGGTATACGGGGTCAGCATAGGCGCAATTCCTCTTCCAGTATTATATGTGTGTGTTCCATAAAATATTGTTTTTCTAAACCTAAAATAAATCGTAAATAATGAAGGTGTTGGAGTTGTACAGCGGCATTGGAGGGATGCATTATGCGTTACGTGGTAAATTTAAATAATCCAAAATTATTTCTACATAGGGCGCGTTCCATTTAACGCTCACAACGCTCGTGGAATCATTTCACTACTTTGTAATTTATCAAATGTTAAACAAGGACAAACGATGTTCGCGAGCATTGCGAGCATCAAGTGGAACGCAGCCATAATGAATCGTGTTTTTATATTGAAATGAATTAACATAAGATTAATTACACACACGCACACATGTATAAATATATATATTCAAATATATATTTTCTTGGTTCCAAGAATAAATCACGAACAAATAAAGATTGCTAATAAAAGCAATAGCAGTTAATGTTAAAATACGAACAAATTATTAACAAATTACATAGTATTTGCATAAATGGATAATACAGACAATTCAAACTTGCAAACGTTTTGACTTGTTCGAGTCTTTTTCAATGCGATGCGAAACAGATAAAAAAAGATAGAAAGTTTCGATCCTTCCTCCAATAGTCAAGTGAAAAAAAAAATTCTGGTAGTTGAATAATGTAAAATCCAAAGATCTAAAGGCATTACATTAAGAGTAATTCAAAATCAGCTGATCTCTTCCAGTTTGGAAAAGAGATCAGAAATTAGGATGACTATTGCGAACATGTTAGTTTACTATAAAGTTAATTAATTAATCTTTATCATTTCAGAGAGTGAAATTGCTGCTAAAGTCGTCGCAGCAATTGATATAAATCCTGTTGCAAATGATGTTTACCGTCACAATTTCCCGGAAACTGCTCTTATGAACAGAAATGTTCAGTCCATTAATGCACAGGAATTAAACAAGTTGAATCTGGACATTATATTTATGAGCCCTCCGTGTCAGCCTTTTACTAGATTAGGGTTAAAGAAGGATACTCTTGATAATAGAATCTGTTCCTTGCAACATATTTTAAACTTGTTGCCAGAATTGAAAAATTTAAGATATATTTTGCTTGAGAATGTAAAAGGTTTTGAAGTATCTCAAATGAGAGACAGATTAGTAGGGTGCATAGAAAGTTGCGGATATGCCTATAGAGAGTTAATATTAAGTCCGTGTCAATTTGGTATACCAAACAGTAGACACAGGTATTATTTACTGGCAAAAAAGAATAATCTGAAATTCTGTTTTAAACAGTCCTCGTTAGGGAATAATTTGCTTCCTGAATTATTTGAATTACTACCAAAAAGTAAACACGCAGTATTAGCGGGGAAAGAAGGTAAAACTAATCAGAAATCTGGCAGACTGTGTTACACATTAAATAATATTTTGGAACGTATTGAAGATTCAAAGTATTTGGTGCCTTCTAAGTTACTACAAAAGAGAGCATGGGTATTAGATATACGAACATCTGAGAACAATGGTTCCTGTTGCTTCACCAAAGGATACAGTTATTATGCAGAAGGTACAGGATCCGTATATTGCCCATTTACAGATGAAATAATTAGATTGAAGTATAATGAAATCGCTAATTATGAAAATGATTCGGATAAGCAAATGCAAATTTTGTTGGATTTGAAACTTAGGTTTTTCTCACCTAAAGAGATATGTCGATTAATGTGTTTTCCAGAAGATTTTCATTTTCCAGAACATATTACAGATAGACAAAAATACCGGCTGCTAGGAAATTCAATCAATATTCATGTAGTTAGCAGATTAATACTTTTATTATGTACTGAACATGAAGATGTATGAAAAATCAATGGATGTGCTACCTTTTTCTATCTTTCATCCCATAATTTAATACTCTTGCAATATTTCTTATATATTCTTACATATTAAGTCATATTCTTTCATCTAGAGAAGTATTTTATATAGTGATATCTTTAAAACTTAAAATACCTAAATTTGACTGTTCCTACAGCATAAGTTGAATTCTATCAGTTCTTATATATATGTACAAAATTAAGTTTTTTTATAATTTTAAAATTAAAAAACTTTGTAGATAACTACAATATTGCATACAAATATTCACCAAACCATTCTATTATTAAATCTATTTTATATATATATATATGTGTATGTATGTATGTATACGTTTTTGTTGAGTTCAATCTAAATATTTTACATATTTTCCAAATCTGGTGGAATAATAATTTTTTTTTCTTGAGCAAACTTTTTGAGTGCTTGGTACTTTGAATGCCAGGAATCTATCTCTTCCCTCATACGATTGTTGTCCTCCTGCATAGTTTCCATATCACGATACTCTTGAGTCTTTTCAGACTCCAATTCATCCTTTTGCTCAATACGTTTTATGCGACAACTGGCTGCATAGCCTCTGTTCTTCAGCGTGCGTCTTCGCTGTTTCATACGTACAATTTCTTCTCTGGACAATCCACGTAATTTCAACTGTCTGTTTAAATCCCGTACTGATATTGAAACAAGCTCATCGTCACTAATGTCTAGACATGGGCCAGGCGACAGCGGATCCTATAAACAGGTAGGTAATATAAAAAATACAGTTACTTGATGGAAATATCTTTATGTGGAGTGTAATATTGGAATCGGCTACTTTATTTGCATACGATAAAATTATTCAATATTTGAGGATTAATTATGAAGGAGACAGACTTACTCACCGATTTCAATGAAATTAGGCTCATTTGACGCGTTTTTGCACGAAATGGACGAATCTGGCAGAAAGTATCACTTCGCCCTACAAACAGATATTAAGTATTAATGTCGACGACTATTCAGATTAGGAAACCTGTCACAACGATGGCGTAAAGGGTTACACAAATTCGTTACTTTAAAAACAAATTCTCTGCTTAAAAACTATAAATTTTCTGCTTTAAAAGCACAAATTATTTTCTATTTTCTAATTTTTGTTTGTACGCAGTAGAACATTTGTTTTTAAAGTAGAGAATTTGTATAATTGAAGCAGAAAAACTCGTTCTTACATGTTCCTTTATCTATGCCATCGATGTGACAGATTTTCTAACCTGAATATTCATCAACTTTAACACTTATTAACATCTCGGTTCACAGGACAGAGAGACTTTTTTCTGCTAAATTCGTTTATTTCGTAAAAAAAAAAAAATGAGTCAAATCAGCCTAATTTCATCAAAATCAATGAATAAAAAGGCCCATCTTCATAATTATCGTTTAAGGTGAATAATGGAAAATTATACGTAACTGTTGCTCTTTGTGAATGTTTGTATTTTTAAAATATCGAGAAAGAGAGAGGAAATAGAGAGAGAGAGAGAGAAAGAAAGAGAGGGAGAGAAAGAAAAAAGACGCTAAATAAACCATACGTTACATACCATCTTAATCGATCTCTTTCCATCCATGACAACTTTCAACTTGATAATTTTTCAGGGCCGAGAACAAAACAGCCTCGAAAATGCCCGAATCCCTCTGTCTTTTGCGTTTTCTCGATAAATATGCTTAGTCATTCTCGCAGATCTGAAAGACGTTTGGCGTTCCCGCTACCAGTACCGTTCTAAAAACATCAATGGCCTACAGCCCATGGCACATACAAAAACGTAAGGCCGTAAGACATAATCAGTAAGCGAATTGGCCAATCACGATAGAGACCGTAAGGGTCCTGGCACACAAAAAAACTTAAGCAGTAAAACGTAAGCAGTAAGCGAATTGACCAATCACAGTAGAGTCCATAAGGCCATAACATAAGCAGTAGCGAATCCAACATGTTGATTTCCTTACTGCTTACGTCTTACTGCCTTAAGTTTTTTGTGTGCCAGGACCCTTACGGTCTCTATCGTGATTGGCCAATTCGCTTACTGATTATGTCTTACGGCCTTACGTTTTTGTATGTACATGGGCTTACACCGTGCACTTGATACGGAATACGGATAGAGTCCTAGGGTGTGGTCCACTGGCGCTACAAACGCTTCGAAGCTTTTGATTGACCAATTGGAAGAAAGAATTTTACTAACTGACCAATCAAAAAATGCTTCGAAATATTTGTAGTATAAAGTGGACCGTACCCCTATAACGTTCTCGAGTGCAGTGGGTTTAATCATGTTGGAAGGATAACATATAGGGATCGATTCTGTATCTTGCACGGTGTCAGGGGCTACGCCCCACACAACGAAAGGAACAGGGAACATCATGTATTGTGGAATACACAGTTCCTGATAGGTTGAAATTCTTATTCTCTGTTCCCTATTCCTTTCAATGGTCGCATTCAGCAGACTCAACTGTTGCGGAGCGGATCCGTGAGCGCTCACTGC